CAATCACAACACTGATATATATTTTAAAGCCATCAGTTCCACCAAACGAAAAGGCAAAGTTTTATACACAATTTATTTTTTTTTCTGATTTCTTTTAGGGTTGATAAATTAATTACCTTCTACGATTGAAATTTAAAAAAATGTACCTTCAATGAACAAAACGCCAGTAGTTAAACATGACATTTTTTGCATCACATTCTAGTTTTTTTGGCGTAGTTGGTGCTTTTTCAAAATTAACTTATAGGATCCTCCAGAGAACTATGAGTTTTAAATCAAATGCAAAAGATCGGCTAATGCAGATGTAAAATCATTTTAATGTTATCAAAATGCAGAGCATCGGTTGACTCGGTTGAATTCAAACAAAAAATCATATAAAACCCATTAAAAAAGGTCTAAATATATCGAAACCATTGTAACCAAATCAACAAGAATATAGCGGAGTAAACTACTCAAAAAATATACCGCAGCATTGTCAATTAAATCCTGCCAGCTGAGCAAATAGAGCAACGAAGTCAAAGGGATCCTTTGATCTGAAGTTTCTCTTTTCGGTGCTTCGATTACAGAAAAAAGTTATATATTTTCCGTAATATATTTCCCCAGTGGTAAAAAGCGTGGTTTTTTATGGTATGAGAAAATTACAGAGGAATTGCAGCGAAGTGCGCAAAGAATGCAGTTTACCCGTCGAATACATATGGAATTCGAGAGGCCATCAGCAATTATTTTCTAATATACTGCCAAATATGCAGCATCTTCCACAATCTAAAAGAAGCGTATGTAATTATCAGCATATCCTATAGGAAAGAAGGCTTATGTTAAGAATTCCTGAGATAGTTTCTACTTTCCAATAAAATTGTATCCATTTGGCGATATTAACACATACTCTTTAAAATTTTAGAAACACACAACAAAATTATGATAAGATAATCAAATTTCAAAAAAGCAGCGAAACATAAGATTAAATATACTTTAAGGAACTCGTATATATTGAAAAATGTTGCTAAATGAGAGCAGGAAAAATTAACTCGGACAAACTGATCTACAAACGACTAGGTAAAAAAAAAACACGAATTCAGTTCCTTTCCAATAAAACTAGAACTGTTTATGAACAAGTGGTTTTATTTGAGTTGTTTTTTTAGTTTACCAAGCAGTGTCGGCACACTTCATTGAGTTCGCCAGTTTTCCATACGTTTGTCAACTTTGTTTAAACTTAGAAATGGACAATCTTCATCTCCCAGACTTATATCTCACCTAGATTTTACATTAGCGAAAACGACTTTATCCAGTATTGACGTTTACTTTTGACTTTTTTTATAAACTGCATGCAATGCTTTTCACAACTCAATTGCTTCTGGTGTGGATTTACACCGAATGAACAGTTTTTACTAATTTCTGTTCAAAACTGATGTAGATACCCAGTTCACTTTAGGATCAAACAGTTCAGGGGCTATTCAGAAACAAAACTGTTCGGATTTTTGTTTGTGTTTTGGTCTCGTCCTGTTCGTTTGGTGTAAACCTATAAGATATTCTGGAATGACTATTGGCAAATCGGTAGACGACCGGCCACAAAACTCCGAGTGGCCGTAAACATCAAACGGAGGAAAAAAATCAATAAGTCGTCTCCGTTCGAAGCGGCGGCGTCCTTATTGAAACGTTCTTCGCAGGCAATATACGACGGCAATCCCGTAACCGGAAATAAAAATTACAAAACTCCCCCTTAATATTTCTGAAACTCGACAAGGCTGTTGCGATGCTCGGTCGGTCCTATTAGACGGCATAAATAGGCTACAGATATTGAACCCTTTTTTCCCATTTTGAGAAATTTCGAATACGCACGCCAATTTATTAATTTCGCTACCAAACCGAATAAAACAATAGAAAATTAAATTGGGAGTTATGGGCGCTAATTGTTTATTGATTTGTTTATTTACAACAGTAACCGATTTAAGAAGATAAATCTCTGGCAAGAATACGTAACACAACTCTTCAAAGACCAGAGAGCGGACAAGTACCACATAAAAACAGCAGAAACGCGAAGCAAAGTAGAACATGCAATAAAGGCGACAAAATCTGGGAAAACTGTCGGACCAGACGAGGTATACAGTGAAAACTGCTCGATGACGACTCAATCCCTGTTATCGTCGACTTATTCAACCAAATATATAAAATGGCTACTGCCTACTTTCGTCCGAATCCCGAAAAAACCTCGAGCAGCTAAATGCGATGACCACCACCGGATCAGTCCAATGAGCCACTTTCTGAAAGTATTTCTCAGAATAATTCACACCAGAATACTGAATAAATGTGATTCCGAAATCTCTAACACGCAAATTGGTTTTCGGAACGGTATGGGAACAAGAGAGGCTATATTCGCGTTCAATGTTCTGGCACAAATATGCTTGGATGTAAACCAGGAAGAGTACGCATGTTTTAAAGATTATACAAAGGCCTTTGACAATGTTAAACATGAGAAGCTTTTAAACATCTTACAAAACCTAAACATCGATTATCACGACATGCAAATCATTTCAAACCTTTACTGGGGTCAGGCAGCGCGAGCACGAGTCGATAACAGCACAACAGAAGAAATACAAATCCAAAAAGGTGTCAGGCAGGGCTGTATTCTTTCTCCAATGCTATTTAACATTTACTCAGAGTACATCTTTCGAGACGCTTTGGAGGAGGAGTCGGCAGGAATCTTAGTTAACGATAGAGCAATAAACAATATTAGATATGCCGATGACACTGTTCTAATTGCCAGCACACTAGAAGGTCTGCAGCGACTGCCATCAATGTGAACAAAACAAAAATGTTAGTAGTGTCCAAAACAGGAAATAATCAAAGGCAATTATTTATAGGACAGCAGACTGTTGAGCGAGTGGAGAAGTTTAAATACCTCGGAACAATTATAAGTCAAGATATAAACCATATTTCTGAAATACTATCAAGAATAGAACAAGCTAGGACAACGTTCAATAAGATGAAGAAACTTCTTACAGCTTGAGATTTGTCGCTAACTTTAAGAACAAGGATGGTACAATGCTACGTGTTCCCGGTACTGCTTTATGGCCTAGAGGGTTGGACCTTAAATAGCGAAAAAGGTTAGAAGCATTTGAAATGTGGGTCTACGGGCGTGTGCTGAAGATTTCGCGGTAGGATCGGGTCACGAATCAAGAGGTTCTCCGTAGAATGAATAGAGAACTTGAAATCTTGTTTAGTATAACGAAAAGAAAACTTGAATTCCTTGGACACATCTCACGGGGCTCAAAATATGATCTGTTGCAGGTCATAATGCAAGGAACGATCGCAGGACGAAGAAGTGTAGGTCGTCGTAGGATCTCTGCCGCGCAACCTGCGAGACTGGTCTGGATTGTCATCAGCTGAACTGTTTCGCGCGGCCATATCGAAAATAAGAATATCCATGACGATCAGCAACCTCCCAGGGAGACGCTGAAATCAAGAAGAAGAAGAACCGATTTCTACCAATGGACCACAAAAATTTGTATAGAGCGATTTGTCCTTTACTGCATCTTTTAATGCCCATGGTGAATTTTCATCAGCTCTCTATCGAGCAGCAATTTGGGAGTCATTTGTGGTTGTATTCCATAGCTTCCTGAAATGCTTCTATGTGTTCGCATGCTACCATTTTGGAAATATAATTCACACTTCAGATTAGAGCATACAGTAATACCAAGATATACCATAAAATTTCATAGGAATAAGCTCTCAGATTGCTTAGCTTTATTTTTTGCATGAGCTACAATTTCAAAAATGTTAAAGCGATTCAAATCCTATTTTATTTCTATCTGGAAAGTATAAGTCAAAGAAGTCTTTTTTCAACAAGCTTATCAAAAAAATTGAAAAAAAGACCGTTTAGTTTTATCTGCGATGGTTTCTATCTTCCAAGATGCATCTATTTGTTATCTGTTATTTGTTTAGAATTGGTGAAAAGGAACATGGGAAATGCAAACCAATTTTAGTAAAGTTTATCAGTAAACTAAGTAAACAATACTTAAAAATTCCAGAAAATTCAAAAATTCAGACATAAGTGTGACACAAGATCTGAAACAAAAAAAGAGAGCGGAAAATAAAATTCTATATGATTTTTAAAACCATGCTAAATCCAAACAGGTGCGTTAGAGGAGGGTAGACCATCGACCGGGGACAGAAAAATAAGAGAAAGACAGGGGCACAGAGATCAACTTTTGGTTAGTTTGGCATTGAAAAACGCAATTGGAAGAGTTACTAGGCTCACTTCGGCCCACAATCCCCAACAGAAGAAAGTTGCTTCACAAAAAGATTAATTCCTTTCCCTCTGTACAACTTTTATTGGTTGTTTCTTTATTATTATTTATATATATCTATATATTTTTTTTGTCATGAATCCGGATCACTTAAGCTTTTAAAAATAGACTCAAAAATCTGTTGCCATTTAAGAGTAACATTCCGTAATTATATAACAGCGTCGTTTTTCTTTTGGATTATCAATACGATTTAGTATAAATTATTGTTATTTCGATCAGGTTCAACTTCTACCATGTGATGCAATAGTTATATTTTCCATTGTTTCTTTTTGTTTTCTTTCTAATTTATGGTGATTAAAGACGTAAAGACGTTAATACTAATAATAATAATATCTGAAAAAATTTTTCAACTAATGTATACATTTTCCATATGAATATGGACACCAACTTGTAAAGGTTCTGAATTTTGTACGGAAACTATTAAATTTTATGAAAACCATCGTAGCTTGTGAAGATTTAGTTAGAAATTATTTTAAATTTTCTGTCTTCACTTCCACAAAATAGCAATGTCAATTCTTGTATTAATTTTACGCTGGATTCTTAGATCTGTTAGAACTTATAAAGCTGAGTTAATTGTTACCATCACATCTAAATCTGTTAAGATTTTGATTTTGACATTAGAAAATATATAAAAATGGAAGATTGGTAAAAACCGTCTTTTTACGAAAATTAATCAATTAAATATACAAAATCACTTACTCTCCATCTGCTGCCACTATATCCGGATCCGGTACCTCTTTGCGAACTAAGGTGACAGTGGCGCCTGTGTGTCTTGGGTTTATTTCCGAAGTGACGTTCCAAAAGGCCGCGCTTGATGGAGAGACTTCCAATAAACGCACGCCGCTCTTTACTCGCGCTCTGAAATAAGGAAAAGAAATGGTGTAAAGTAAGAGTACACAATCCCGAACATCCTGATTTAAGACCTAACTTCGTTATATGTAATGCGCACAAAAATATTTAATACGGCTTACATCTATATCAAATTTCAAATTGGCGACGCACCGCAGCAGTCACTGCTGACATGAGACATGTTGAATACTCTGACTTTAAGACACTTTAAACTTGAATGACTCTTCATTATTTGCACAATGGGACTCAAAGGTGTAAAATCATAGAAAGAGTCAAAAGGGGCTGAAGCAGGATTAGTCAGGATTGACGTTGGGAGCCCGAAGACAAGCCAAGAGTCAACAAATGGGGATTCCAAGACAAGTTGCTGAATCACCACCAGCAGTAAAATTGCCATAACCATAAGTATAAGTAAATTTGGAGGAAATAGAATTCACAAGAGACCGCGCCCAATATTGCAACTCAAAATAATAGGCAATCGTTGAATTTCGCTGAGCTGCCTACATTTCTTGGTTATTTTAAAATCCAAAACTTCCAAAATCGAATCGATGAAAACGAAGCTGACTAGATTCCTCCGAGAAGATGCAAAAATGGAGGTAATTGTAATCTTTATTTTAACTAAAATTTAACGATTCCAAAAATGAATTTCCAAAATTATTGTTATTTGGTATCAGTTTGGATTATCTTATATAAATGTTAAAAATAAAATAAAATAATGTTCAAGTAACACATTTGAACGTAATACTACAACCTTGGCTTTAGCACTGCGAGTTACCGAAAAGTCAAAGGCAAAAACATTGCCGCCTGTATCCGCGTTTTGACGATAAAACAAAGTTGCCAGGAAAGTACACAAAGGGCTATCGTCAAAGAATGTAATTACATTTATTACATTTTTTGAAAAGCGGAAATGGAGACACATGGAGTTTGTTTCGCCTAGAAAAAAAACCGCCCCAGTGGCGAAAGAGATAGTTATTTTTCATTTAAAAAGTAGATGCTGCAAAGAGGTCGCTAAATAATTAAATGTGGAGCAGTGAATTCGTTTATAAGCGTATTGTTATAACATCAAAGGTTTTCCACTGAATACAGTGCCCTTGGTAATTTCATTTTTGAGTGAAAAGCCACCATCTAATTGATAAACATTCCGTACGAAATGGTCTAGGCGTGTCCGAAAAGACACCTGAGTATAATTAAAATTTTTTTTAGGTAGAAAAGTTTGAGTGAAATAGGAAATTCGTTAATTAAAAAGGATCCCGAAATTCATCAGACTTATCAAAGGAAGCTGGTGGAAAATAATTTTAATTGGAGAGAAATTTTAACATCCGGGGTTGGCTCACTTAAAACTTAATTTGCTAATTGAAATGAAACGCCCATTTGCTATAATAAAGAGTATTCCACATTTCACTTCAGATTTAATTTGTTGTCTACAATTTACGAAGCATTATTACTGGGATTTGGAACGAGCGAGGAAAAAAACATCTCGGAAGATATGGTTCCAAAACTTGCCAATATAATTTTAATTCCAAGTTTTAATTTATTGTTTGATTGAAGTTTATTTCAAATGACTTTTTGAAGTAATTATTTGAAGTATATTACATTAAAACTTTAACTTTTCGTGACATCAACTTTTGCCTCAAATTCGACATTTTAATAATAAAATACTCCAATTTCGATATTTTTAAAGCATTTGGAAGCTCCTTTATATTGTATGATATTTTGTTATTAAATTAATGTTTAATTTAATTTTTAATGAGTACATATTATTTTGTATTAAACTAAAGAAATCCAAAATACTACAATATTAGTCAGGCAACTTTTTGGTGTTTTGCTTTACACTTTTGAAAGCCATAGCCATGCACTCATTTTATTATTGAACTTCAATTACTAATTATTAGAAATGCAAAATTTATGTATTTATTTAATAATTGGTTGTTACCTAGTAATAAATATTATGTTTTTAAAATAATTGCACACAACTAGGTATACGTTCGCAAATATTTCGAAAATGGCATATGGGTAGACAATTTAAAATTGTCATCTGCTTAGAATCATTATTTCACACTATGTATACATGTTTATTGTGTTTCATATACGATTGTTAAAGTCAATTCGTATTTTATTGTGTCAATTCGTAATTTGGTAAAAAAAATGTTGAGGGTCTTCTAGATTTCCAGGGCGAAAACGTCACCATAAAAACAGGCCATTCATCAACGAGAATTGCAATTAGTCATCCACTCAGAATACGAATGATATGGTGTTACAATCGCATCTCATTTCCTTTCGAAACGCGGGAGACAAATAGACCAAAGGGCAGAGGGTAGAACTTGATCCTTTTCGAGGTCAAACCGCATGCATAATTCCCACTTCATACGTCGCTCTTCGCGATAAAGGATCATGGGGTGTGAGAAATAAACGACGTGATATAAAAGTTTTTCGACGCTTCCTTAAAAATAAAACGATGATTTTATTTTTTGATCTCCTAACCGAAACGGATAGATCTTGCTCACTGAATGACTTAATTATGCGTGCCACATCTCAAACCATCCTGATTCAAAATATACAAGGTGTCTAGAAATAACGTCGCAATATTCTAAGAGGTATTTTTAGAAATCAAACTAAGAAAAATATTCAGACGAAAAATGATCTTAGGATGATTTTGCGCAATAATTTTGGAATCATTACCATTTTAAATTTAGTGTGCTGTGCTGTGGTCGTGCGTTGTAGGTGGTGAATGCCACTAGATAGCAGAAAAAAAATTGAAAAAAAAAAATCTTCAAGGTTCCATATTTAAGATGCTCTAGCAATTTTAGTACGCATTTTTCGGGGCATGCTCAAATGAGCTTTTTTCTCATTTTGATCTCCAAAATTATTGTAAAAAATGTTCCCACGTTATTTCCGGGTGTCCTGTATGTAATTTTCATATAATTAATGCGGAATTTGGATTTTAGTGCTTCATCTCAAGTGGAATGCACTAATAAACCCTTTAACATCGATCGCTCTATTATCGATTTCATCGACATTTATTGCCATCACTTAAAGCTACATATGTTCGGGTGGTACTAAACTGTCATCTAAAATTAGATTCAGATTCCAAACATTTAAGGCGGATTGTATCCGTGCGTGACGAAGGGTCATCTATTTAAGTTGACAAACCAAAAAAGATTTAAAGTGTTCATAGTGCATTGTAGAAACATTTTTTCAAATGTAGTCTCGCCTGGTCTAGCAGAAAGCCATTCCAATTTTGGAACAAAGTGGCCAGTCTAGTGGCTAATGCACCTAGTCGGCAAATCGAGTTCAAATTAAAAAAAAATCGGTCAGAACTATGGCAAACGTAGTAATAATTAGTAAGCAATGAGAATTTGGTAAAGCAACATTTAGAAATATATAAAAATGTTGTATAAAAAGTAACTAGTTTTCGGTAAAAATGTGTGAGCAGTAACTTTGCAGAATAATAAAATTAATTAATAAATATGTATCGGAAAACTTTGCATAGTACCTGTTGCTAGCAAGTTCGACTCAACAAACACCGATGCATGAGGAATCCAGAAGCTTAATAAAATGTATTACAGTAGCCTGTGGAAGTTTCTTAGAAAAATTTTCCAAATATATTGCTATCCAGATATTTTATTTGGACACGCACAAGATGTAAAAACAACCTCTCGGTCCTGAGGTGAACGCAGCCAACTTTTGTACAACTGTTCTACCCGATACCCGGAATTATTGCTTACAAAAAATTGTACTTAAGTCAGGAGTCAGGAGATATTACTTTGAAGATATTATAGTTAGGAATCTTTTTGTTCTTCGTACTTTCTCTAAAGGATGATTTATAATATTGTAAATTAATCAACCATTTTTTTCTTGGACAATATTTGCTTTGCAACCGGTCAGTCAACGTTTTCGTCAGTTGAGTAATCTGGTGAATTAAAAACTGGCAAAAGCAAGAATAGTGATATTGATTTTCGAATACGATAATTATGACATTTTAATGTGAATATTAAAAATTAAAAGTTTTATGAGAATTTGTTTCCTACCTTGTTGAAGCCTTGCATGTCCATAGGAAAGATACTGATTTTTTTTACATTTTCGGTGATTTGAGTGGTCTTACGCCATTGCAGCATATTAAAATGTATAACTTTATTAATCCAGGAAAGTATACTTTTGATATATTTTTGAGCCTCACACCCTATTTTTCTCTTTTCTTAGCCCAGATGAACAAACTAGATCCAATTTGTCAAAGCTCTCTTTCGAGTTTCGGGATTCGTTTCACCGCGCATTCTTACATTCATAATTGCAAATTGAACTTAATGAGGGACCTTTCTAATTCTGAAAGCAACACGAAGTAGAATTTCCGCCAACAATCGCTGTTAATCCGTTGCACTCTCTATCCCAGAGGAAGGCGACAGACGTAAACAAATTAGGCCATTTGAAGTTCCGACAAATTGCAACAGACATCTTAATTATGGCGCTACGACGATCAGCTGCGAGTTTAAAACAATTATAAATTCATTAGATTAATGTTATAGCACACGACTCCCTATTCAACAATGCGGAAAATTTCGAGCAAGCTGCGCGACAAGTTGATTGCGGAGAATTGTCGAGACCAACGATGAAACCTAGTTTTGATGGAATCGTATATGGTTGTCAGTGTATCGGAAATGCAATGCTGTAGTGCATTAAAATATACCAGTAAATAATAACCACTAGCTAAAATATTAAGATTGATCAAAATAAATAAGAACTAAAAGTTCAGATTTTCACGAAATTATTTATTATTTATCAAATGACATTTGATAAAGACACGGTGTTGTCGAAACAATTGTCATGTCATAATATATAATATCGTGAATATCTGAACTTTTAGTTCTTATTTATTTTGATAAATTGATTTTCATCAAGTAAAAGCCACCTCAGTTCAATTAAGATTGATGCCTAAAATGCCGGTTAATTTGGTGGCAATTAAAATCCTTACGTTTCTTTTTTTATTCAACCGCCAAAAATTTAATGAAAGGATTTTT